TTTAGAGCATAGCAATGGGAAACATCGTAGCTTTGTGTGTGTGTGTGTGTGAGTGTGTGTCTGTGTCTGTGTATAGATTCTAAAAAAAGGGGGGGGGAGAAAAGAGTGACTTGTTTCTTATCCTCTTTGAGCAGACCTACCAATTTAATTCTAAACTACAATATGCCAATGTACAGAGCACTATGCGATGCCTACGTGTCGTTTCTGTTTTCTGAAGTCACTGCATTTGCCCTTCAAAAGTGGAGTAAACTTTTACCAAAAAAAAAAAGATATACAGGTGGCTAGATAAAATGATAGGGTAACATGTAGATTTTAAACCTGAACTGTTTTTATTAGGTATAATATCAGAAAAATTGATAAAAGTATGTATTTAATATTACATGTCTTAATAGCAGCGAGGATTATATTTGCACAATACTGGAAAAATGGAGATGTATTGTAATATGAAGAGGTAGTCAGGAAGATACTAGATTGTGCAGAAATGGATAAATTGACATTGAAAATTAAACAGAAAGAAGATGCAAAATATTATCAAAAATGGAATTTATTTTACCAACGGTTGGAAAAAAGGGGTAGAGATTAAGAATGTAAATTTGTTTTGTTAAGCAAATTAAATATCCAGACAATACAATGTTTATTAAGAACTAAGAAATGTATTCAATAGAAAACCAATTAAAAAAATTTTTTTTTAAAGGAAAAAAAAAAGTGGAGTAATTTGGTTAGGATGGTATGCATAACTCAGACTCTCACGCTGAAGAGGAGATAACAGAAGAGAAATAAGAGGCCTGTTAGCTTAGGGCAACTGCACAGGCGGAGAATGTCAAAAGCAATTCGCAGCCTGCTGGCACACTTTAACAGAAGCTAGTTTAAGGTAAGAAAGCATTAGAAAATGAAAGTCAGATTTCACAGATTATGCAAAAGCCAGCCAGTTAAAATATGGTTTAAAATGTGTTGGATTTTTTTCTTTTGGCTTATTTTCCATAAATGCTTTGAATTTATAACATGGAATAATTTGTTTTATTTACAGGGAGTCATTTCAAAATTCATGTTATCGATTGCAAAGTTTGAAAACCCTGCTATAATACATTCCCCACAATTAGTGACATGATAAATGCTGGTTTGTGAACTGTGCAGTCTGGAGGTACCCTTTTAAAAGAAAGATCCCTGTGTCTTGTGGAGACCCATAAGCAACTTCCCTTGCACCATTCTTTTCATCCTACTTCCTCTAGGTCTGGAGGTAGAATATCTCCCATCTTATCACAGGTAGTCCTTGCCTTACAATCCACAATTGAGGGCAAAATTTGCATCTCTAAACAAGACAGTTGTTAAGTCCCGTTTTACAACCCTTTTTGCTACTCTTTTTAAGTGAATCACTGCAGTTAAATAAATCGTGTGCTTGTTAAGCAAATCCTTAACAAGCAAATCCAATGGTTTTTTCCATTGACTTTGCTTGTTGGAAGCCAGCTGGGAAAGTAACCAATAGTGATCATATGACTCCAGGACAGTGCAACTGTCATGAATACATGCCAGTTGCTATGAGCTGAATTTTGATCACATGACCATGGGGATGCTGTAATGGTTGTGTGAAAAATGATCATGTTGCTTTTTTTCAATGCCGTTGTAACATTGAAGAGTCACTAAACCATTGGTTGTAAGTCGAGGACTACCTGTAGGTGGCGATAGCTAGATGCTCTTGGCTAATCTCAAAAAGATGGAAGTTGGACTCACCTAATTCTTGGATGCTCTATGGCAGTGATGGCTAACCTTTTCCACATTGCGTGCCAAAAGTGCGTATGCATGCACGCGCTTGTATGTGCCTGTACCCATGATGCAATGCACATGTGACTCCCCCTGCCCCTTGTGCATGCGCATGCCCACCACACGCTTCTGTGCATGCACACAACCCCCGCACGCCCATCTCCACGCGCATGTCTTCCCCGTGCATGCGTGGCAGATACCCGACAATCAGCTGGCTGGCGGGGGCATGCGCATATGCGCAATGGGGCTTTTCTGGGCAACCTCTCGTGTGCTGGCAGAAGTGGCTCTGTGTGCCATAGGTTTGCCATCACGGCTCTATGGATACACTAGGAAATCGAAGCCCTTGAACCTGAGGTGTCCCAAGGACATTCCTGAAGAATGCAGAAGCAAATCTTTTTCATTTGGTTGCAGAGACAACAGAATAGACTCTGAAGCCCTAGGAACCAAGCTCAACTTGTGGGAAGTTTTACCTTTCATCATAGAAGTAGAACCACATATAATTTTTATAATCCATTTATTTACTTTAGGATTTGTTTTGCTTGTAAAATCTCTAAACCATTTTTCACTGATAATGTTCGTGTTAACACAGTTTGCACTAAACACCACCCAAAAAAGTCTCCACCTCTTTAAAACCACAAAACAGTTTCCTTTGCAGTCTCCCTCTGCACGTTTATTTTACCCTGTGACAACTGTCATAATTCTGTAGAAATTATCTTTCTAATGCATAAATCTTCAATCCTTTATCCTTTTACCTTTTTTAAAATACTTTTAAGTAAACAAAAAATGGTAACGTAAAGCTGTAAGGAAAAAGAACTTCAATAAATATTGAATTCATCTTTCAATAAATAACTATGCACAATTCTACATATCAGCTGGCTGGCTTGGAAATTCTGGGAGTTTAAGTCTATACATCCTAAAATTGCCAAGGTTAACAAACACTGATTTAAAATTAACAATTATCACAATAGACCATACATAATATAATATTAAAATTAAAGTGTACAATACAGGAAATATGTGCCATGAAGAATTTGTATCATAAAAAAAGAACTTCAAAAAAGTTGACCAAATATTATAACTTTTCTTGGAAAGCAACTACTTCACTGTCCTAATTTATCTGTTTTTCTGTCCCTTTTCAAAAAAACCATATTCTTGTATTGGATGAAATGAGATGATCAGCACTGTGAACCTATGTGACACCTGGTCATTCCATAGATTTTCTTTCAAATGATTATAATTTGCTGATTTAATTTTAAATGCTTGATCTATCAACAACTGTACCTTCTTTTATATTGTTCTGTGTCTTGAATTGTTTGTTATAACTTCCAGGATGGAGAAATCTTTTGCACCATAAAGTGTCTTGTACGCTAACTGCACCTAATCCATTAAGTTATTACATTTGCATTTGAGTTAGAAGAAGTGATATTTCCTACATAAAATAAGTTATGTTAATTTGGATATTATGAGTGCTAAACTCAAGTGTGTACCATGTTACAAAATATGGTTTTGCACCAGCTGTCAGTGCAAGACCAGACCATTCTCTCTGATCCGCTAGAGAACAGCTGCTGACTTAAACTGCTTAGGACGCTTTTTATTATTAGCTTCAAAAAGCTATTTGAAATTGAAATTATAGGGAGCTTCTCATTCCTGTAACCCCCAAAACACATGGCACAGACTACAAATGCATGTTTACAGTATAGTGAGCAAGAAAGGAAAACATGGACAGGTTGAATTTATTTTTAAAGTAAATGACCATGTTTTAAACTCATTAAAAAGATTAGTAATTATATTTAGGATCAGATGTTATAATGGATTACATCTCTTTATAACTCAGATGTTACAATCCACTTAAAAAAATAACTGGCTTTGATTATTGGATCTGGATCAGGCATAGCAGCATGCTGTAATATTCTCTGATTCTGTCTTAGCATCACAGAGCTAGGTATGAGCCATGGTGGCGCAGTGATTAGAGTGCAGTATTGCAGGCTACTTCTGCTGCCTGCCGGCTGCCTGCAGTTTGGCTGTTCAAATCTCACCAGGCTCAAGGTTGACTCAGCCTTCCATCCTTCTGAGGTGAATGAGGACCCAAATTGTTGGTGGCAATATGCTGACTCTGTAAACTGCTTAGAGAGAGCTGTAAAGCACTGTAAAGTGGTATATAAGTCTAAGTGCTATTGCTATGAACCCAGATCATATGTGAATTGAAAAGGTATATGAATAATTAAAAATATCCTATAATATGCAGTCCCAGTATGTCCCCTTTCCCTTTTGAAGAAGTAGTTCAACCAAACCTCTTTAACCATTATGAGATGTGCAATTTTAAAGTAAAAGAAATCATCTTTTTTCTCTTAATATCGGTCTCATCTTGGTAACCAACTACAAACCAACAAAAACATTTCCCAAGAGTTTTCTTTGATACATCTTATTGAATAGGAATAGAATGAAGTTTTAGAAATACTAGCACCTTGTTTTTACTTTAGAATCCAATTTATATATGTTTAAAGAAAAACTTGTTCAATTGGCTACTAATATGTTGTGGCTCCGAGTCCTGAATCTGCATTCTTAGAGGAAGAGGAAGAGGAAAATGAGGAGGTGGAATTGGGAATGCCTTCCTCCCCAGGACCTTCCTCTTCGGCAATGCCTTCCTCCCTGATTATGCCTCAGGTTTCGGCAGATAACTGAGAGGGACAGCCTGAGGCTAATCAGGAGGAGGAGGGCATATCGGAGCAGCCTGTGACAGAGAATCAAGCAGACGAATGCTGGCTTGATGCTAGGCAGCGTCGCAGGAAAAAGTGTGAGCTGCAACGCAGGAGACGTGGACGAATCAGAGACTGAGCTGAGTTAGTGACACACCCCACAGGGAATAAAAGTGGGTGTGTTTGCTCTGGGAGCTCCGTACGGGACAAAGTGTGAATTTTTCTGTGGAGCTTCGGTGTATCCTGTTGTTTGAAAGCTTTTGTGATTAATGTTTTGTTATCTTGTCGGACTTGGCAGTCAGTGTGTGTGATACTGCCAAGAACATTGCCGGCTCAAAGGAATTAACTCTATAATTACTGAATCTTCTTGTCTGCTTGTATTTGGTTGGAGTTTTGGACTTCTCATCTTCTTTGTAAAGGTGAGACATAACACTAATATATTCTCCCTTTTCCTGATTATGATAGACTCTTTCAGACTGAATACTAATATAATGTCAGAATGACTGTCATGTAGAAATCTTGAGAAATTAACTTTTAATTACTATAATGTATTTAAGATGCTTGGGTTCATTGTTAACAACAGTACATTTTACTGAAGTAAGTGGTTGCAGAGGCGGCAAAGCTGGATCTGAGATTTTCATACCCAAAGAAAAAGGGATGGCTGACAATCACATATTTCCAACATTATAGGGTTGAAAAATGTTTTGTTACTGATTTTCATTTGTACTTAGTGTCCGATGCATTTTGCTGCAGTCTCCAACATCAATTAGCCAGCCCTGATGGATTCCAATTGGTCTGATAGCACTTTTCATTGTGGCAATGTCCTGTTAAAATCTTTCACCATGTTTGTCACTGATTGCACCTAAAATTTTGGGAAAGAAGTCCAAGTGTGAATGCAGAAAACAAATCTTCAGTGACATGTTGCACTTCATGGTCTTGTATACTATAAGAAGTCTGTTAACCAGCTGAATGTAATTTGGTGCTCTGCAGTTGTCAAGAAAATTCTTAAGGACATCCTTGAATGCTTTCCAGGTGGTTTTTCCTCTTGTCCCACTAACAGATCTTTGAATCTCGCCATTGATGACATAGCTAACCTGTGAAGCAAAATAAATACCTTCCTTAATCTTGACATCAGTTATTTATTTATTTATTTATTTATTTATTTATTTATTTGATTTGCCAATTGTTTACAAGATAATAAGTATAAGTGTATACATAGTTGTGAATATATGAAATGGGTACATATAAGAAAAATAAAAGAATAAGAGAAACAATAGGACAGGGACGGTAGGCACGTTGGTGCGCTTATGCACACCCCCTACAGACCTCTTAGGAAAGGGGTGAGGTCAATAGTAGACAGTCTAAGGTTAAAGTTTTTGGGGTTTGGGGAAGAGACTATAGAGTCGGGTAGAGTATTCCAGACATTGACCACTCTATTGCTATTATTCTTGGAAACATCTGTCTCAAATAACAAAACCCTTAGCTGTCTTTATTGTTTTTCCAAATTTTTCATCAGTCTGAGTTTTATGTGAAGAGGTGGCAAAAAATATATTTCTTGGGTCAACAAGTGGTTTGTATGTCAGGTTTTGGTACTGGAACCAAATTGTTTTGGAGATTCGATTTCTGTTTAATGTAATATGACTCTCTTGCATGGCTGCCCCATTTGCATATGTAACAACAGTATTTGGTATATCGGAGCAGCATTCTAAGCAGCAAGCAAACTACTTTTAGATCTCCACAAATATTCCAATTGTATTTGTGTACTGGATGTATTTCAATAGCAGTTCCATGTTTTTATATGTTTTATATGAGTGTGTAGCATAGCCAACAGGTACTGAAGGGTGTTTATTGCAAAACCAGAAGATTTCTATACAATGGTATACAAGTTAAATTACAGATTATTTTCATCATTAGTAGTGACTTTCAAAATATCAAAATAAATCTTGTTGCGTTTTTCTGTAAATCAGAAGCAAATAAGCATTATTCCAATGTGTAAGTTGATTTGCTTGAATAATTAGAGTCAAAATTATGCATCCATTGCAATTCTTTTGCAACCTTTAATGCAAAAAGGTCCAAAAAATCTATGGCTAAATACACAGCAAGTTCTAATATTACATAGTAGAGATTGTATAATAACATTCCAATTGCATCCATTATTTTTTTTAGTTTTCTGCATTCCATAGATAAAGTAAAAATATATTTCCAACATAAAACCATAGACCATAAATTTAAATTTCTTCAGCATTATATTGTTTTTTAAAAACAATCAAAGCTGTTGATTTGGTAACTCTGAAAAAGATCATAATTATGTCTGTTATTAGCTTATATTATTCACATTAGAAATAACTATTAATTTTAAAATCCAAAGCAAGAATTAGCAAGTTCAATTAATTAATTACTCAGATTTCACATTCAAGTAACTAATGAAATGAAAAACCACAGACTCCACAACAATATTTAATTGGCCATATGTCACAGCCCAATAAATGTAACAACAAAAATGAATTATTAACATGGAACAGAAGGTTGGGACATAAAATCCTACACTCTTGATTCTTCCCAGATTTCCCTGGTTGATCATATTTATTTTGTGTATTGTTCAAAATGAATTGAAATTCAAAGGGGCATCTTATAACTTCATCTCCATATTAGGGAAATAAGGTAGTAAAAATGTCCAAAGAGACTTTTTCTATAATTCCTTTGTGTCCCTTTATTTTTCAGTCAAAGTATAAAGGCAGTTTAATAATTCCCTGCAGCTAAATACAGTAATTCTCCATAATTGTTGATACAACTACAATAAACAACAATGACTTATCTTGCAGCATTTACAATACCACTGTACTATTCACCAAACCAATTATTAGATTGTAATATTAGCAAAAGGATACTATAAAATTATTTCAGTATTAATAACTGTTTCACCCAGAACTCACAGAACAGCAGTTAAGTATACCTATACTGTCTGTTGATATTATTTTATCTAATAGGATTGAGTTTATGCACAAACCTATGCAAATCATAGGCTCTCCACTGAATTTGGGAACAGCCAGAGTTTTGTACCTTACCTGGGCACTACAAATGTTTTCAAGATCAATACAAGTACCAAATATAGGCTAAATCTAAAACAGGTCTGATGGTTTGAAATCAAACTCTTCCCCCTTTTTTTCATTTGCAAGAGGAAGAGAGTATATTTTACTTATTTTATAGAATAAATCACACTTTCAGGGAACTGCAGTCTGTTCTAACCAGTGTTATTTAAAATATTATGAAATGAAATAATGGTTTTGCTATGGCCCATTTGCAGTGATCAGAACTAAAGCTTGGATAATCCTCTCAACAGTTAACTGGTTCCCAGAATGGCAGCATCTGGGTTATACTAGAGCAGTTCTGTCTCTTTTGCTCTATTAATTGAAAACTCTTTAGTCTTTCTCTATCCTTAACAATCAAAGGCTTTTCAGAGGAGATCCTATCACTACATTTTTCTCATTTAATCCGCTTATATAATTATTCTCTACCAGTAGCTCTTGCTTGTTCTTTCTTGCAATTTTTTTGAGCATGTTGCATTTTTAGAATGCTTTGTATATTTATTCCATTCTACTATTCTAAACAGGGAAGCATTCAACATAAGTTATTGAATCAATTTCTTTGGCAAAGACATCCTGCAAGACTTTTCATTGTGCCAATAATTGGGGGAAATTGGACTTAATGTCCCTCATTTTCACGGTGGACCATCACTGGTTAGAATAAGGAAGTCTAGAATTGGGCTCTTCCTTAGGTCAACTGGAAAACTGCTGTTTTACTCCATTGAAATCCCAACTAGAAATCTGTGTTCAGCATACAATCTCAACATCTGTATAAGTCAGAGGAAAAACAACCTATCAAATATGTCCATTACTAAAAAAAGAGACAAATTGAATCAATCTTTTGGCAGACAACTTCAACCCAAGGGAAAGTTCTCCCACTGTTTCTTTTAACAACATTTATTGAACGAGAATAGTAGTTAGAGAAATCCTGCTGTTACTTTAGAATCCAATTTATCTCTCAGCTAGTTAGGACTGAGACTTGCTCAATCTTTCACTAGTGGTCTCAGTGTGAACTGGCAAGGAGGCTGCTGTTTTACCTGGCTTGCTTCCTAACCCATGAAATGACCTCCTACTGCATTTCAATTGATTTGTGAAAAAGAGGCATAAGATTTTGAACTGATTGGTTCACTACCAATCAGCTTCGCATTTGGCACCCAGTTCATTTTCTGCCTCTCTTGGTAGGTTAGAAAAAACAGCATGCATGATTCAAAAACGTTATTAGTCCTATTAATCTAAAAGTACACAGACATACATAATATATCTCTCTATCTCTATCTCTATCTATCTATCATCTATCTATCTATCTATCTATCTATCTATCTATCTATCTATCTATCATCTATCTATCTATCTATCTATCTATCCATCTATTATCTATCTATCTATCTATCTATCTATCTATCTATCTATCTATCACTTATGTCCTAAATTCACATTAGATATTGTCTATATTTGTTGGTAATGTCTGTAAGCTACCTAGTGACATCTCTGGTGAGATAGGGGGCATACAAGTTTTAATAAATAAATAAGCAATTGTTTATTTATTACTTTTTTATTCCTTTAAAAGTTACAAAACCTGATTCAAGATGCTTGTTGTGCTTGTTACATTTTATTCTGATTCAAGATGCTACATTTGGTGTTATACTTTGTAACTCTTTCTATTATACTTCTGAATACTGTACCTTCTACTACACTGCTTCTCTTTCAAATGTTAACTGTCAAAATTTCTGCAGCAATCCACAGAATGCATGTCACCAAAGCTGCCTTTGTCAAACTCTCACTTTCAACTGGACCAGGAAACATTCTAAAAACCAAATGCACTGCCTGCTCTTATCCACCAGTACATGGGAGGTTGCATTTGCACCAAATGCAATTTCAAAGTAGCTTTCAAGTAGATCCACGTGAAGTCCATTACAGTTGTCTACTCTGATGGCAATAAGGGTGATTGGACTGGGTGTTGTGACTCGGTGAAGCTGGTTTGGCCATGGCCTCCATTTGATGTCAGCAATTACTGACTGGAACAATTCCTATCTTGTGGATTGCTCTTTCAGGAAAAAGTATGATAGGAGCATACCAGAGTGCAAAGTGGTTTCTGGACAAGTAGCAACTTCATAGTTTGCCAGTTCAAGTTAGCTTCAATCTGTGTTGTCCCCCAGTAACCTCCACAAAGCCACTCCAGACCTCCAGACCACCTTCAATACATCCCAGGACACACGGATAGGAACACACACACAAATTTATATATAAAATTGGTATCATCACCATATTTTCATGGAGATATTAAGAAATAGGAGTGAAAAGAATCCACAAGGGAAGGACTACTGAGCTGACATCTAGCTTTCCTTCCTCCCATTGACTGAAAAAGCAGAACCAGTTCAAAATAGTGGCTCTTATTTCTACACCTTGCATTATGGTCAAGAGGGATCAGGAAGGCGCATTCCCCGCTATCCAAATGTTAAGAAAAGACAATTAATGCCATTTCTGTCCCATTCCCAGATTGAACTTAACACAATTGGTAAACTGCTTCTTCTAGGGTTCTCTGTCACTGAAGCCTCATCACCTTATCAAAAGGTGATGTAGGTAAAAAGGAAGGAGAGTAGTCTTAATATAATTTGATCCAAGTTAAGACTCTCCAGAAGACACTATACAGTACCACTGCCTTCTATAAGGCTTTTGACTCAGCCCTTTCTTCCAAAGAAGCATTAAACAGCATCCAAGTTCCAGTTATTCTACTCACAACTAATGAAAGAGCAAGGAAAGCCATAGATTCAGGGGTGTGATTCTACCAATTGACACCTATTCGCTAGAACCGGTTGTTAACATTCTAAGCAGTTTGGAGAACCGGTTGTTAGAAGAAATTACTGGCCTAATCCTGTAAGGAAGGCAGGAAGGAAACATTCTGGTTTTGCTTACAGAAACTAACCCTTATTACATTCTTGGCAGGACTAGACTTCCTGTCTCAGGAACTTCTCTGGAGGTTTTTTCCCCCTCCTTTGCTGGTACTTTGCTTGTGTGGAGTGACCATTCAAAGTTACAATGGCACTGAAAAAAGTGACTTATGACCATTTTTCACACTTACGACTGTTGCATCATCCCCACAGTCATGAGAGGCCAGGTGAGGAAATGCGTGCCTCGATGTGAGTGATATTGAGTTGGCCACACCTAGCCAATAACATGACCACCAAGCCATGTCCACCACCTAAGCCACGCCCACAGACCTGGTTGCTAACAATTTGAATCCCACCCTGCATAGATTCAAGTCATAAGTGATAGATCTCATCTTTGTTTCTTTATTAAATTGATATCATTGATATCATGTTTATTAAATTGATATCATGTTGCGGTTTGAGGCAACTCCGGATGGCTTACAATGTTATAGGTAGTTCTTGAAATATGACCAAAAGTGAGCCCAGAATTATGGTCACAGCTGTCATTGAAGGATGCATTGCTGAGTGCCTCCAAGCCCTACTGCTACAATCAGCTCCAGCATTGTTGATGCTCTTCTAGTTGCCAGATTATTGAAAGTACACCAGGTATTGCATTGTCCTGCAATTTTACTAATGTGTCCTTTGCCTTCTACATGTTAGATATCATAGAATAACAGAGTTGGTTGTGCAGGCCTGGTCTAAAGAAATATATTTTTTATAAAAGAAAATAATACACTGAAGATAATTTTACAAGCAGACCAAATTATACAAAATAGATTTTATGTAATAATAAAGCAATTGTGCATATATAAATAATGCTAAAATTGTATTCCATATATTTTCTTCAGAATTAAATTTAAATGTGGTTTTTTTTCCCCCTGCCATTACAAAATTTCTGGAGGCATGAGATAAAAATGGGTTTGTGTGGGAATTTTACTTTTATGAACCAAAGTTATCACTTATTTTTCATATTTCTGCTAATTTTGCATGGGACCATGGGACACTGCAAGTGGTTGTAAGTGCAATGGGGTTGCCGAGTACCTGAAATTCAATCATGCAACCAGAGGGGACTCAACTTGTCATTAACTTTGGATCCGATTCATAAGTCAACCTTTTTGGCTCTTTGTAATTTTGAATGTAAGTTGAGAACCACTTGTAGCAGTTCGATACTAAGCTACCTAATTTCTTGTAGAGTTATTTCCTCTTTGAACACTGACCAGGAAAAGCCAGGCCTTCAAAACTTTATGGAAGGCTAGGTGGGTGGAGGCCTGCTGAACTTTAGGGGGAAGAGTGATCCATTGGACAGGAGCTGCCACAGAAAAGACATACTTCCTAACTTTCATCAGATGGCAGCATTTAGGGGAAGAGACTAGGGGCGTGCCAGTCTTATCTGATCTGGGAGGATGGGTAGCTATCCTTTAAAAAGGTAATCCTAAAGGTAAGGTTGAATTGCAACCGGAAACTGGAATCCAGTTCAACATGTACAACTGAGGTATTACATGAGCAAATCTATGTACTGTGCATATTGCTACATTCTGGATCAGTTGAACTTTCTTCAAAGGCAGCCTCATGTAGAGCACATCACAGTAATCCAAATGGGAAGTGACCAAAGGACGAATAACCATGAGCAAGGTGTTCTGGTTGAGGAAAGGGCACAACTGGCACACTGGACAAAACTATGCAAAGCCCCTTCCCCCAGGGCAGCTGCTACCTGCTTGTTGCCTAAAGATCTTTAGCTTCCTTCAGTATTGTACATGCACTTTAATCCACGTACATATCAAGTTTATTTCACATTTCTCCTACCATCTCAAATCACCTATGATTGACTTTCTTGGTTCTGATCTGATTTCCTTCAATATTGTTTCCAGTCTAGAGTTTGCTTGCCCCTAAAGATTAATAAATGACTGCGTTTGTTCATTTGCATACCACCTTTATTACATTTACAAATAATTCAAGGCAGCAAACATATCCAGCCCACCTTCCTCCTCCTATTTCCCCACAATAACTCTGTGAGGTGAGTTGGGCTGAAAGAATGAAAGGCCTGAAGTCCCACACAGTTGGTTTTCATGGCAAATTTTTCTACTCTGCTGCTATTGTTGATGTTGACTTACCAATTCATTTCAGTGCTGAATGACAGCTTATGCAGAGGCCTTTCTCTCTAGCGCTGAGAAAATTGGCTAGTTAAAGCAGAGGTCCCAAACCCCAGTCCGTGGACCAGCACTGGTCAGTGGCATGCCAGAAACTGAGCCATGCAAACAAAGCAAATCCCCATCCACACCTGGTACAGGTAGCACACAAAACCACAACCCCTCCGGTATATTTACTTTCTCTTCCACTCTTTGCACACTGTTGACTGGGGGTGTGGGAACGCTTATATGGTAGATATGTATGCATGCAGAAATCCTCCTGACTGGCCCAGAAACCCCCTTACATACCCTCTTATTATGGCCTACTGGCATTTTGGCTGAGATCAGATAGATCAGATGTGTCCAACACCTCTGGAGGGCATTAGATTGGAAAAGGCTGCTTCAAACGTTATTTTACATAACTACCTCAATACTGCATAGGAACAAGTCGGTGTCACATTAACAATAGGCGATCTTGCCAAAACTCTTCCTGATCCGGTGTTTTCCACCTCTGGGATACTTCTTCCTCATACCTCGTCAATAGTAACTCAAGGATTAGTATCCCACCTTCCTCTTTCTTAATGATATTTATAAATTAACTCAACCCGCTCCTTCCTTTCCCATGCCTTTTCCCCCCCCCCCCCCCCGTAATCACTTTTCAAGGCCCTCGACTGTTTCCCCCCATCTCATCTAGTCTGGCCTTCAACCTTTTCTCATAGTCCCCTGGCAGAAAACACTCCACACCAACCCCGAAATCCTCCACGGTGGTTGGAACTCTCTACCTCACCACCTCTTTCTCTCTCCAGGCCGCCCCCCCGCCCGTCGCTTTTTTGTTTTTTTTTCTCTTTTCTTTCCTACACATCCTAACATGATCTTCTTTCCTTAACGGCCGCCCTTCCGAGCAGGGTCATTGGCTGTTGCTAGCAGCTCCTCTCTCCGGATTGGCTAAGTCGCGCTTGCCCCTCGCTTCGCTTTGGTTTCTAGACTTGTTGTCTGGCTCCGAGCTGAGAGTCTGAGGAGGGAGGGGGAGAGTAAGAGGAACTGGCGCTGCTCCAGCGGGGGAGGAGGAGGAAGAGGAGAGTACCATTCAGTCACGCTTGACTGTCTGGGCGGCGCTGCGGTCTCTCTCCCTCTCTCTCCACCCCCCCTCCCCTCCCCGGCTCAGCGGCGGTGGGAATCGTAGCAGCAGCAGCACCGTTCCCGCCGCCCTCGTGGGCCGCGAGCGCCCCCCCTCGCTGTTGCCTGCTTGCTCTCCCGCCGCCCTTCTCTCTGGGGAACGCGGCGGAGACGCTCGAGCGAGTCGTCGGCGGGCGCCCACGGAGGGAGCTGCCGAGCGAGAGAGGGGCGGGAAAGGCGAGAGGAAGGAAGGGGGAAGTGTGGAGAGGAGGAGCCGGGCGTGCGAAGGAGAGAAAGACTTGAGAAGCGAGCGGAGGCAAGGGAAAGAAAGAAAGGAAGGAAGAAAGAAAGAAAGAAAGAAAAGGAGGAAAGCGGGGAAAAGCTCAAGGAAGCGCCGCTTTTTAACCCACCCACCCCCACCGTGTGCGGCGGCTCAAGGAGCAGCGACGGCGGCGCTAACGGGGGGCTGCGGCAGGCGCTGCTGCTGCTGCTACTACGGCATCCGGGGCCCGGCCTACGAAGCGGACGCAGGAGAAGCCGGAGGTGGTGGGGGGTGGTGAGAGGGATCGGCCTCCCGCTTCGGAAGAACCAAGCCAGGCTGCTGCGCAGGCACTGCGGCCCCGTTGTTGCTCTTAGCCGCCGCCGCCGCCGCCCCCTCGAGAGGGCAGGAAGTGACTCTAAAGCCGGGACTGGGTGGTGTGTGTGTGTGAAGCACCTGAAACCGCGTATTCGTTGGGGCGGAAAGAGGGCGAAGACGCCGAGACCCACCGAAGACCGCCTTTCCCTCCCTTGGAAAAGTGAAACGGCGGGGAGGGAAAGAGGGGAAAACAAGTGTCCCCCCCCCTCCCCTCCAGGCCCGCTTCTCTCTGGCCTCCTTTCGGTCGTGTCCCGTGGCCCTCGCCGAGGTTGGCCTTTCCCTCCTCGGCTTCTCTCCTCTTCTTTTGAACTCGAGAAAACTTGGTTTGGATCTAAAGCGTCGCGGAGTGGCGAAAGGGATCCCGCTTGTAGATGGAGGAAACCTGGACGGCCGAAGTGTAAGGTGGGCGAATTTGTACGTGGAGTTGGGTTTGTTGAATGTTTCTAGGAAAATTTCTTTGCGCGGGAGGCGGGAGGGAAAGTACTTCTCCCCCCCCCCCACCCCCGCTATCCTGATCTGTTTCCTCGCATAATTGATTTTACAAAGTACTGGAGTTCACTCCCCTAATCCTATGAAAAGTTGCTATAGTTATACAACGTATCCGTCTCGCCTCTTGTTCGTGGCCGAAGTGAAGGTGAAAGAAAGCGGATTTGGTGGCGCGGGGTGTGTGTGTGTGAAACGGGACTAAAGCTTCTCAAACAGGAATTTCTTTGTTCCACTGTGGAAGGTAGTGTATTGAAATGGAACTGCTTGATTATGCATTCGTGATTCGGTAGAGACTTGTTTTTGAAATGGTAACTTTCCCCCTTCATCTGTTGATATTATAGTTGAAATTCTTTTTCTCCTGTAGGTTAGAA